ATATGGGATGCCGGCACTGCAGTTGTCAGCTTTATCCACTACGCCACAGCGCCGGCCCCTGGTTTTTTTTTTTTTTGTTTGTTGTTTTTGTTTTTTTTTTTTTTTTTTTTTTTTTTTTTAAGATTTATTTACTTGAAAGGCAGGGTTACAGTTACAGGGCGAGAGAAAGAGAGCAAGGTCTTCCATCTGCTGGTTCACTCCCCAAATGCCACAATGGCCTAGGCTGGGCCAGGCTGGAGCCAGGAGCTTCTTTTGGGTTCCCAATGTGAGTACAGGGGCCCAAGTACTCAGGCCATCGTCTACAGCTTTCCCAGGTACATTAGCAGGGAGCCGGATCAGAAGTGTAGCAGCCAGAACTCTTAGCTGGTGTCTGCATGGGATGCTGGCGCTGCAGGCGGCAGCTTTACTCGCTACGCCACAGCGTTGGCCCCTCCTTCTTTTTAAGATTTATTTGTTTTGAAAGAGTTAGATAGAGGGAGAGACAGACAGCGAGAGCTCTTCCATGTGCTGGTTTACTCCGCAGTGCTGAGGCAGACCGAAGCCAGAAGCCATGAGATTATTCTCTGGGTTATCTTCCACTGTTTCTCCCAGGCCATTAGCAAGCAGAGAGCAGACAGGAAGTGGAGCAGCCAGGGCTGGAAGCGGCGCCCACATGGGATGCCGGCACTGCAGGTGGTGGCTTCCCCTGTGAAACCATAGCACCGGCCCCCAGCATGTCACTTTCATCAAAGAAGCCACCTGGGGTTCTGGTGGGGATTGCATGGCATCTGTAGGTCAATTTGGAGAGTGTTTTTTTTTTTTTAAGATTTATTTATTTATTCGAAAGACAGAGTTACAGAGGTAGTAGCAGAGAAAGAGAGCTCTTCCCTCTGCTGGTTCACTTCCACACTGGCCGGAGCTGGGCCCATCTGAAGCCAGGAGCCAGGAGCTTCCTCCGTGTCTCCCACGCGGTGCAGGGCCCAAGCACTTGGGCCATCCTCCACTGCCTTCCCAGGCCACAGCAGAGAGCTGGATCGGAAGTGGAGCAGCCGGGTCTCGAACTGACACTCATATGAAATGCCAGGGGCACTGCAGGTGGCGGCTTTACCCGCCACGCCCCAGGGACGGCCCCTGGATGCCTTTTTTTTTTTTTAAGATTTATTATTTTTTTTATTTGAACAAGTTAGGTAGAGACAGAGAGGGAGAGAGGTCTTCCATCTGCCAGCTCACACCTCAAATGGCTGTAATGGCTGGAGCTGAGCTGATTTAAGCCAGCAGCCAAGAGCTTCCGGGTCTCCCACGCGGGTGCAGGGCCCAAGGACTTGGGCCACCTTCCGCTGCTTTCCCAGGCCATAGCAGAGAGCTGGATCGGAAGTGGAGCAGCCGGGACTTGAACCGGTGCCCAAATGGGATGCCGGTGCTGCAGGCTGGGGCTTTAACCTGCTATGCTGGCTGGAACCTCCAGTGCAGTGCAGGACAGAAGTGCGACAGCAGACTTCGAGTCTTCCTGGTCTTGCTCCTGTGGTCGGACTGAACTGGTCTCGTGTGGAGCTGAGGGTGCAGACGCACAGCTGTGTGACTGCGGTCAGCCTTGCGGGTGCACTGCTGCAGCTGGGGCTTGCTCAGCCCTTCCCGAGGAGTCCAGGGTCCTTCGGGGTCTGAGTTGTGCGGCAGCAACGTCCAGCCAGTGGTTAGGAGCCGCTGCGTGTGCCAGGCGCTGTGCTCGGCTGAAGACACGGCACTGTCTCTGCCTTCCAGGAGTTTGTAGCTAGAGGAGGAGGGCAGCGTCAGCCCTCTGATGGGGTGGTGGTGCAGGGAGGGAGATGACCCCGGGCTGGCAGCCTGCCCGTGCGTGCTCACTGCCCTGGCTGTGTCGGTGTGGCCTGTGCCGAGGGCACTCTAGGGGCCACCGCAGCCCCTCCCAGCATTCCCACCCCGACCCTCCTCCCCTCCTGGCATTCCCACCCCGCACCCCCTCCCCTCCTGGCATTCCCACCCCGACCCTCCTCTCCCCTCCCAGCATTCCCACCCCGCACCCTCCTCCCCTCCCGGCGTTCCCACCCCGACCCTCCTCTCCCCTTCCAGCGTTCCCACCCCGCACCCTCCTCCCTTCCTGTGTTCCCACCCTGACCCTCCTCTCCTGTCCCTTTTGTCCCTGGCTGCTCCACCCCCTGCAGTCTGCCCGGTGGCCGTGGGTTGCAGAGGGAGGAGGGGGGAAGCAGTCCACGCAGCTGGCTAACAGGGCGGTTTCTGGGACAGGAGTGGAGGCAGCACAGACAGTGAGGACGAGGAGGAGGAGGAGGAGGAGGAGGAAGAGGAGGGCGACAGCCGGGCTGCCCGAGGAGGGGCTGGACGCCCCTCCTATCCCAGCCCCAGCCCCCGGCCTCCTGGTGAGTTGTGGGCAGCTTATGGGCAGACACGTGAGGGGGTGTCTGCCTGCTGCTGAACTCACTGTCTTCCTGCCCCCACCAGGCCCCAGCTGGACAGCCACCTTTGACCCAGTGCCTACGGACGCCCCAACCCCTCCCCGAGTCTCCAGGGAGGAGGAGCTGTGCTCTGGGCCCCCAGCCCCGCAGGGGCCCCGTGACGAGCCCCATGGCCTCCCCACACCGAGCCTGGCCACCCCTCCTGCCTGCAATGCCCTGCAGCTCAGGTGGGCACCGGCTGGGGGCAGGCGGGGTGGGGGGTGCTGTGTCCTCTCTTAGGCTTAGCACTGACTGCCATGTGCCCTTGGGTGCTCTTGCCTCCCAGGTCTCAGGCCCCCGGACCCCCCTCAGCACCTCAGGAAGCCGCAGATGGCAGCAAAGCTGTGGAGCCCTCGGGTGAGCCCCTCCCATGCCCCCACCCTGCAGGCGGCCCAGCCCCCAGGTCAGCTGACCGTGTCTCTCCCTCCAGCCCCCTGCCAGGCCTTGGTCAGTGTCGGGGGGCTCCAGGCCACCCTCCACGAGATGTGCTCCACGCCCAGCTCCTTGGACAGGTGAGCAGGGGGCAAGCAGTGGCTGCTGGCCCTCGGGTGGGACTTGGGGAGCCCTCCCGTCCTCGGCGCTGTCCCACTGTGCCCCGGCTCACCCAGCCTCACCTGCATCCCGGGGGCCGTTCTTGGTTTCGCTGACTACACGGGGGCAGCAGTTGCAGACCAGTCGCGGCCCAGGGGTCGGCCGGCAGAGTGTGGGCCGTGCGGCCAGTGGCTCCGAGTCTGGTTCCCCTGGGGTGGCCAGCCGGCGTGGTCTTGCCCCAGGGCTGTGCAGTGTGCACCCTCCCAGGTCTGGGGGGGGCACAGAGCGTACACTCTGCCCTTGCACCAGCGGGAGGGCCCCCTGGTGGAAGGCCTGCCTGGGAGGGGGTGCTGGCTGCTGAGCAGTGGGGTGGTGCCAACAGCCACACTGCCTGTCGCCCACAGTGCAACCAGAGACCCCTCTACCTCTGTCCCAGCCTCCGGGGCCCACCAGCCCCCCCAGACCACAGAGGGGGAAAAGAGCCCAGAGCCCGCGGGGCTTCCCCAAAGCCAGAGGTGAGGCGCGGCGCGGCGTGGCGCCTGCTTGTGGGGCGTGGGGCTGGGCGGGTGGGCAGGAAGTGACCTCTGGTGCCCTCCTCCCGGCAGTGCCCAGGCCCCGGAGCCGCCTCAGATGCCCAGCAGCTCAGCTGCAGGAGGGCCCATGGCCGTGGGCTCCCAGTGAGTGACCGCGCGCGGCCTGGGGCGGGCGGGGCTGGGGCGGGGCCAGCTGCCGGACCCTCACACGCCTTCGCCTCTGTTCCCAGGTAGCTGCCTGGTCTTGATGGTGGCCAAACCCTCCGTCCTCCCCGCCGTGGACCCCTGGGCAGGGGCGGATCAGGTCTACAGATCGGCCTCCTGCCTCCACCCCCGCCCCACGCGTCCTCTCTGGTCTCCCAGGAGGCTGGTGCCAGGGAGTTAGGCCCCTCCTTACCCACCCCGTTTGCACTGAGAAGAGAAATTACAGAGCTTGCCTCCTGGAATAAAGATATAGAGAGAGGAGAGAGACGTCTATTATATATTATATATATGTATCGAGGGAGGAGGGCAGAGAGGAAGCAGGACGCGCGGGCCACCCGGGGGGGTCGGCCCTGGGGGTCCCGAGGCTGCCGCCCACACGCCCGTCCTGTGCTCTGGTGCAGACGCCCACACCCACACCCAGCCTTTGAGCTCAGGTCTACCTTGGGGGCGGCTGGCGAGGGCGGGGCGTTGGGGCCCGAGGAGGGGGCAGTGCCTTCACCCAGACCCTGCACTTCCACCCAGGGACCCGGCCTTGGGGAGCAGGGGCCTCCCCGGCAGCATCCCCAGAGGCCCTGACTCTGGACTGGGCCGCCCTGCGCCCTGAGGGTCTGGGGTCGCAGCCCCGCTGCCAAGTGGCCTTGTCCCACTCCCTGCCCCGGGCTGGCGTGAGTGTGCGTGTGCGTGTGTCCGTGCTGAGCTTCTGTTTCATATTGCAAATATAAATAAAGGAAGACGGTTTACGACTCCTGCTCGTCAGACCTCACGTTCTGGGGTGTGTGGGGGGCTGAGCCGCTCCGTGGGCCTGTGACCCCTGAGGGACTGTGTCCTGGGGAGGGGCTCTCTGGGAGGCAGGGACGTGGTCCCGGTGGGCTGGCCGGGCCCTGCCCAGGTGCCCATGGGACTGCACTGGCGCACTCGGCAGTTTCCTGAGCCTGTCTGGTGGGAAGCGGTGGGCATCCACCAGTGACCGCGGCCAGCCTGTGCGGCCGGGCACTCCGGGACTGGTTGGAGGACAGGTGGCGCGCCCCGCTCCAGTGTTCTGGGACAGCTTGGTCTCGGCCACGTCTGAGCAGGTGGACGGGGCACCCGCGGGAGGCCGCCTCTGCAGCCTGGCCGTAGCGTTCATGTGCCCTTGCACGTAACCATTGCTGGTGGTAGAGGTTCGAGAAGGGGGCCCTGGGATAGCAGGTGGAGGAAGGAATTGCCCTTCTGTCCCTCCAGGGCTGGCCTGGGCAGTCAGGAGGCCTCTGTTCGGAATCCTGCAGTTGCTCCCTTCTGATTGGCTGGGCACAGGACAATGGGAGGGGGCACTTAACTGTGGCCAGGGGCTGTGGAGGGGAGGGACCCCTGGGTCCCAGTGGGCACCTACTTATCAGCAGGTGGCAGGCTCGGGGGACATCTGCCCGGGCGTGTTATCAGTCCCAGAGTCCACAGGACGCTCCTGTGGTTAACATGTAACCACCCTCTGGAGCCTCCAGCTTCTGGGTGCCGCAGGCAGCATGGACGCTGGGGAAGGCGGGCTGCTCCTGAACACGCTCTCAGTGCAGGTGAGGGCCTGTGGCGGCGCTGGGGGGGAGCCCCGCCACTGGTCCTGACAGGCCCAGGCTGGGCGTTTGGGTCTGGGGCCTGGGCGGGGGGCGGGGGGCGGTCCTGACCTCCAGCGGGGACAGGGCTGAGCTGGCGGCTCAGGGCCCCTCGCTGCCCTCGGCCGCCTCAGGTCCGCAGGTGGCTGAGCCCCTTCATCCTCACCTGCTCCATCTACTTCCTCGTCTGGCTCCCCGAGGACCAGCCGTCCTGGCTCAGCGCCCTCATCAAGTGCCTGCCGGTGCTGTGCTTGGCCGTGTTCCTGGGCGCCGCAGCCTCGGGGGGTAGCTACACGCGGCTCCTCCAGGTGGCCCTGCTGTGCTCGGCCCTGGGCGACGTCTTCCTCATCTGGCCCGAGACCTTCCTCTATGGTGAGGGGAGGCCTCGGGGGCAGGGCCGGGATGCACTCTGGGTGTCCGTGCGGGGTCGGGCACGAGCCATGGGCTGAGGAGAGCGGGGGGCACGGAGGACAGGGCGTGGCTGGGCGTTTCAGGGCCCCGCCGAGAGCTGACCTGGAGGCCCCTGGGGTGCAGGTGCCACCATTGCAGCTGGATGTGGCGGGGTGGGCGCCGGTGCGCGGGGCAGAGGCGACAGGGCCGCGGCGAGGACTGCCCGCCGTCCCTGGCACACGCCCTCTCTCCCCAGGCATGGCCGCCTTCTCCGTGGCCCACCTCCTGTACCTGGTGGCCTTCGGCCTGTCCCCACTGCGGCCGGGGCTGCTGCTGCTGACCACGCCGGCCTTGGTCGTGTTCTGCGGCCTGCTGCTGCTGCACGTGGAGCAGGACATGGTCCCGCCCGTGGTGGGCTACACGCTGGTGCTGAGCGCCATGCTCTGGCGCGGCCTGGCGCGGGGCGGGGGCGCCAGCTGGGGCGCCGCGCTCTTCGCGCTCTCTGACGGCGTGCTGGCCTGGGACATCTTCGTCCAGTCTGTGTCCAACGCCCGCCTGCTGACCATGGCCACCTACTACGCGGCCCAGGCCCTCATCGCCCTGTCAGCCCTCAGAAGCGCGGCGGGGCTCAAGACCAACTGACCGACCACTGCCCCAGCCCGTCCCCGACTCGGGCCCGCGGATGAGCGCAGCCCGAGAGACGCCCGTGCAGCGAAGCTTCCCGACCAGCGCCCCAGCCGCCTTTCCTGGTTCTGATGTGGATTCCGGGCCCCTCGACCAGGCTCGCGCTTGGCCTCCCAGGCGTCCCCGTCCCCTTCCCCGCCGCTCCAAGTCTATTTTCTCGTTGCCTAAGTAAAGTGGGTGTTGAAACGTCCAAGTCATGGTTATTTCGGGAGGGCGGCCATGATTCAGAAGAGCTGTCCCTGGGGGGTTCTCTGCGGGGGGTCGTCACCTCCTTTCATGGCCCTGCTGCGGTCGTCAACGCCACGCACCAGGTGCCTGCTCAGGCTTCCCGGAGGCCAAGTTCAGAACGAAGCCGTCGGTCCTCCAGCGTCTCGGCACAGGGGTGCTTCCGGGCCTCTCCTGGTGACTGGAGCCCTCAGCGTTCCTCATGCCGCCTCCGCCCCGTCATCGTGTGGCCGCCTGGAGCTGTGTCTGCCCTTGGATGAAACCCAGGATGAACGCGTCCAGTCCCTCAGCCGCATCTGCAAAGCTCCTGTTTCCACGTAGCCTCTCGGCACCCGCAGGTACGAGGAGGCAGGACTCGGACGCCTCTTTCAGGGTCACAGATGGTGCCGTGGGAGGAGCTAGGAGGTGGGAGGGTCTCGAGGAGGGGAGGGAAACTAGGGATGGGGACAGAGGCAAGAAAGGAAGGGTCGGGGTCGGGGTGGGGGTGGCCCTCGTCCTGGCCGTGTGGCCTCCTGACTGTGTGGGCGTCAGAGCTGCCCGACAGCTGTGCCTGGGGATGCCAGGAGGCACAGAGGGGCGGGGCGGGAGGGCACCAGCAGAGCGGCTTCCTGGAGGCTGGATTCTCAGGCCTGCAGGCTGCACTGCCGGGACGGAGCAGACTGGGGGGAGGGAGGGGGGCGGGGCGGGGCCTGTAGATGTGGGGGGGGGGGCCTGGGGCGTGGAAGGGAAGGGAAGGTTGGAAGAGGGTTCTGGTGTCCGGCCTGGCTCTGGGGGGTTGCCTGGGGGAGTGGACATGGCGCTGCTGTCCCTCTGCTTCCCTGAGCCTGGCCTCCCCGTGACCCCCGGCCTGTCTGCTCATCAGGTTTCTCACACACAGAGCCCCCTGCCCCCTGCCCGATAGAAGGCTGGGGGCCGTGCCCCTCCTTCCAGACCCGGGGGAGGGAGCAGACCTCGGGTCCCTTTCCTGGGTCAGGCGGGGACGGGGCAGCTGCAGTCCTGGTCCTGGAGCCTGGAGCGCTTCCACGTCTGGTGCCCCACCTGGACCCTCCCAGACCGTGTGCCCCGGGGAGAGCTGCGGCAGCGGTCAGCGCCCCGCCGTCCTCCTCTCCTGGGCACCCGGTCCCGTTAGACACCTGAGCACGGGGGCTGGGAACGCAGTTCCGTCAGCCCTGAGCGCGGGTGTGCGTGCTGGTCCCCGCTCCAGGCAGGCCTGCGTGAGGCAGAAAGATGGCGTCCTTTCCAGTCGTCCAATCTGGGATGGGCGGGGTCCGGCCTGCTCCTCGGAGGTCACGCACACGGTGTGCCCCTGCTGGGCCCCGGCTGGCCGGACAGTGCTCGCCTCCGGATTCTCACTCCCGCCACCCCCAAGGGCTCGAGAGTGAACGGGAAAATGGGGGCGGGGGTAACGTCCTGGCTGCAGCGAGGCGAGCCTTCTACCGCACGATCGCGCCCAAAAGGAAAACTTGGGTTCTCTCGTTCCAGGCTCCCGGCCGGGCCCACGCTCCGCCCCACCCTGAGGCGGGTGGCCCCCCGCAGGCCCAGACCCCACTGCTCCCCTGCACCTGCACAGGTGTCCCGGGAGGCAGGGGAGGGCCTGGCGGCAGGGACCCGTTGTGCCTTCACCACGTGGGCCCGTCCACTGGCAGCACCTGCCGGACACAGGTGAGAGGTGCGCACATCTGGGCTGGCAGGAAAAGGATGAGGAATGGGGGGCCTGCGGGGACGTATGGGCTTGGGGAGCCGTGTCCGGCTGCTAGGCCCCCTGGCTTGGAGTGGTCCTCATTAGTAGCCAGGGGTGTGGAGAAGGGCCCTGGCTGTGGGCTGCGCGGCAGGTTCACGGTGCCAGGTGAGAGACGGTGACACACAGGGGTTTGTTACCTGCAGCCAGGCAGCGAGGGGCAGCGAGGGGCGGCGGGGGCCTGGGACTCCCCTGGGGCTGGGGACAGCCGCCGGGGCAGCTAACATCTGTCTGCTCCTGTGCCTGGCTCGCGCTGCGGCTGGAGGATCCAGCGGTGCAGCCTGGCCTGGGTCTCGGGGCCCGGTGGGCACGGAACCCGCTGAGCTAAAGCACCACAGGCTGCCCTGTTGGTACGGGCGCTGGGACAGCCCAGGCTGTCGTCTGAGCAGCATCCCTGCCAGCCCAGGTACGTGTCCTGCCCTGGGCCTCCCTCTGCCGCGGGTGGCCTGGGTAGCTCTCCAAAAACCCATTTTTTTGCTTTATTTTATTTTGAAAGATAGAGAGTGAGTGAGCCGGAAGCCAGGAGCTCCATCAGGTCTCCTGCGTGGGGGAGGGACCCACCTACTTGAGGCCGCGCCCAGCTGCCTCCCAGCGTGCACAGTGGCAGGAAGCTGGAGCGGAGAGTGGAGCTGGGCCTGGGCTGGGCCCTCCAGCACGGGCCTTCCCGAGTGGTGGCCCAACCACAGTGCCACACAGCCCTTGAGGATCTCCCAGGCTGTTCCCCAGCAGCCTCCAGCAGTACGTCCCGCGAGCAGCAGGGGGGCCCGGTCTCTGTGTCCTCATCCCTGACCCCTGCCTGTTTGCGGCTGAGAATCTGGCCGCTGCCGATGTGCGCAGCAGAGCCTGGTCGCTGGTCAGCGGTCACGGTTTGTATGTGTGCATCACTGCCCATGGGACTCGGTGCTGCTGAGACCAAGGAGATCCAGAGTGCTCATCCTTTTTTCCCCCCAAATTTTATTTTATTTCTTTGAATGAGTGACAGAGAGGGAGACACACACATACGCACGCACGCACACACACACAGCTTCCATCTGCAAGTTCCCTCCCCAAAGTCTGCAGTGGCTTGCGCTGGGCCAGGCGCCTAGAAGCCCACTTGGGTCTTCCATCATAGGTGGCAGGGGCCCAGGCACTCGGGCGTCCTCTGCTGTTTCCCAGGTGCATTAGCAGGGAGCTGGACCGGAAGTGGAGCAGTCGGGACTAAATCTGGCCATCCAGTATGGCACGCTGGTGTTGCAAGTGGTGTCAGCCCGCAGCAACACAACACCAGCTTCTCAACTGTTTAAAGATTTTTTTATTTACTTAAAAGAGTTAGGGAGAGACAGAGAGTTTCCATCCACTGGTTCACTCCCCCTATGGCTACAAATGACTGCAGCTGCGCTGATCGGAAACCAGGAGCCGGGAGCTTCCTCTGGGTCTCCCACGAGGGTGCAGGGGCCCAAGGACTTGGGCCCATCTTCTACTGCTTTCCCATAGCAGAGAGCTGGATCAGAAGTGGAGCAGCCGGGACTTCAAACCGGCCCTCCTGGGATGTTGGCATCTCAAGCAGTGGCTTAACCTGCTGCACTACAACTCTGGCCTCCGATTCTCTTAAAAATCTTCTGAAACTAAAATTCCGAGGCGAGCATTGCGATGCAGTGACATAGCTGCCGTTTGCGACGCACGCATCCCACGGTTTGGGTCCCGGCTACTCCGTGTTTCCTCTCTAGCTTCCTGCTAACGCATCTCAGAGGCAGCCTGTGATGGCTTCGGTGCTTGGCTGCCTGCCACACCCGTACCCGGCCCGGATGGAGTTCTGAGCTCGGGTTCCAGCCTGCACAGCCCTGGCTCATCGTGGGCCTCTGCGGGTCAGTCAGTGGCGGGCAGGAGCGTGTGTGTCACTCGGATGGAGTTCTGAGCTCGGGCTCCAGCCTGCACAGCCCTGGCTCGTCGTGGGCCTCTCAGGGTCAGTCAGTGGCAGGCAGGAGCATGTGTGTCACTCGGCCTGCCAGGTAGAGGAAAGCAAGCAAACGTACAGAAAAAGCCGGAGCCAGTTGCTTCGTGTCCCCTGTCAGCACTGCGTGCATGTGCGTCTGTCCGCTGCGGCTACCCGAGTCCTGGGGTCCTGGTCTGTCTCCGTGACCGGCTCGTTGCGGTGACCTGCGGTTCTCGGGGTTTATTCGGGGCAAGCAAGCTGCCTTCCTGCCGAGCTCCTCTGTCACCCCCTGCCCTCCCTGCGCCTCCCCATGCTCGGCGCCTCCCCTCAGACAGGTGCCCTGGCATTGCCAACCCACCCGCGGGAGGGGGTCAGCGTGCGGTCAGCGTGTGCGGGAGCCGCCCTGGTGACGGGCTGGGCCCATGGGATGGAGCTCAGCCTTGCGGGCTGGGGGTTCTTGTCACCCACGTCGGAAGTGGGGGGGTGGATTTGTGACTCGGAGCGCGTGTCACTGGCCCCGAGGCCTCTTAACCAGCAGGCCACACCCCCCGAGGAGCTCACCCACGTCCTGTGCTCGTGGGGACATAGGAAGTGGGCAGATAGCTTCCCCACAGAGGTCACGGGAAGAAAGGAGATCTGTGTACAGATGCAGGTACACACACGTGCAAATGTGTCCACGTGTGTGCTCCGAACACTCATGTATATTGTGTGTCCTTGTCTGTTACCCATCTGTGCTTTTCCCTCTGTGTGCGGAACCCCACAGACACCAGAGTCCCCGTGGCCGCGCAGTTCCCCGGGGTGAAAGGGTGTAGTGTTTGCGTCGTCCCGTGTACTTTATTCTATTTTTTTTAAGATTGATTGATTTATCTGAGAGGCAGAGGCAGAGAGGTCTGCCACCCGCTGGTTCACCCCGGAGATGGGGCCACTGGGCCATCTTCCACTGCTTTCCCAGGCACGGTAGCAGAGAGCTGGATCGGAAGTGGAGCGGCCGGGACATGAACTGGCGCCCATACGGGATGCTGGCACCGCAGGCAGTGGCTTTACCCGCTGTGCCACGGCGCCGGCCCCGTCCCATCCACTTTAAATCATCTGTCTGTGACTTAATGTAAGTGCTGTGTAGGTCCTGGCCTCCCTGTCCGTGTTTAGTACTCATGCGGCTGTTGCTGAGTATTTTTGACCTGCAGTTGGTTGGTCTGGGTGTGGAATCCACCGGTCTGGAGGGTGGACTGTGTATACATTCATCCTAGGGTTCTTGAAAAAGCTTGTCGGGGGGCACAGCGTGTTAAAACCCTGGCTGCAGCGCCGGCATCCCATGTGGGCGCCAGTTCTAGTCCCGGCTGCTCCTCTTCCCATCCAGCTCTCTGCTATGCCCTGGAAAAGCAGCAGAAGAGGGCCCAAGTGCTTGGGCCCCTGCACCCGCGTGGGAGACCTGGAAGAAGCTCCTGGCTCCTGGCTTCTGATTGGCCCAGCTCTGGCCGTTGTGGCCATTTAGGGAGTGAACCAGCGGATAGAAGACTTCTCTCTCTCTCTCCCTGTTTCTACCTCTCTCTGTAACTCTCTTTCAAATAAAGAAAAGAAATCTTTAAAAAGCTTGTGGGAAATGGAATTGAAAGATAAGTTAGGGGTGGGAGTTTGGCACAGCAGTGACGACACTGCCTGGGACACCAGCGTGCTTGGAAGACACCAAGCACGCTGGAATAAAAGTTATTCATTTATTTGAAAGGCACAGAGAGGTCTTCCATCTGCTGGTTTACTCCCCCATTGGCCGCAACAGCCAGAGCTGTGCCAGTCTGGAGCCAGGAGCTTATTCCAGGTCTCCCACACTGGTGCAGGGGCCCAAGGACCTGGGCCATCCTCCACTGCTTTTCCAGGCCACAGCAGAGAGCTGGACTGGAAGAGGAGCAGCCGGGACTAGAACCAGCACCCACATGGGATGCTGTCACTGCAGGTAGAGGCTTAACCTGCTGTGCCACCGCGCAGTAAATCATTAAATAAATAAAAGGAAGACTGCCATGCCTGGCCCCCAGCCAGGTGCCCTCGTGGGCTTGGTGGTCTGGACCCCAGCTGCCCACCTTCCTCTGCACTGTCCCTTGTCGTTCTGGGACACAGGCCAGGTTCACACGGCCCAGAGTTCCCCATGGATGCCCGCGGGGCTCCTGGGAGCCACGGGGCTCTTTGTGCCTCCCCGCTTGTGTCTGGGAACACAGACAGGCTGGGAGCACCCCTGGCTCCCTGAAGGACGCGGGACAGGAACTCCACCGTCCCCCTGAGCCGCCAACGCGCTCTCCACACACGGTCTCCACGCGCGCTTTCCCACAGCGTCTCTGCACACGGGGTCTCCACATGTGGTCTCCACATGCGCTCCCTGCACGGGGTCTCCGCGCACGCCCTCTCCACAGGGGTCTCCCCACACAGGGTCTCCACACGAGGTCTCTGCACGCGCTCTCCCCACACAGGGTCTCCACACGGGGTTTCCGCACGCGCTCTCCCCACACGGGGTCTCCACACACAGGGTCTCCACACGGGGTCTCCACACACAGGGTCTCCACACGAAGTCTCTGCACACGCCCTCTCCACATGGGGTCTCCCGCGGTCTCCCCATGTGCTCTCCCCACGCGCTCTTCGCACGCAGTCTCCGCACGGGGTCTCCACACGTGGTCTCCCCACACGGGGTCTCCCCACACGGGGTCTCCACACGTGGTCTCCACACGGGGTCTCCCCACACGGGGTCTCCACACGTGGTCTCCACACGGGGTCTCCCCACACGGGGTCTCCACACGTGGTCTCCACACGGGGTCTCCCCACACGGGGTCTCCACACGTGGTCTCCACACGGGGTCTCCCCACACGGGGTCTCCACACGGGGTCTCTGCGCACGCGCTCTCCACACACGGGGGTCTCCGCACGCGCTCTCCCCACACGGGGTCTCCGCACGTGCTCTCCACACGGGGTCTCCACACGCGGTCTCCCCACACAGGGTCTCCACACGGGGTCTCCGCACGCGCTCTCCCCACACGGGGTCTCCGCACGCGCTCTCCACACGGGGTCTCCACACGCGGTCTCCCCACACAGGGTCTCCACACGGGGTCTCCGCACGCGCTCTCCACACGGGGTCTCCGCACGCGCTCTCCACACGGGGTTTCCGCATGTGGTCTCCCCACACAGGGTCTCCACACGGGGTCTCCGCACGCGGTCTCCCCACACGGGGTCTCCCCACACGGGGTTTCCGCACGCGCTCTCCCCACACGGGGTCTCCGCACGCGCTCTCCACACGCCACCCCTCCCCGTGCCCCGTCCCCAGCAGGCAGGGATTCGGGGTTGGAGCGGAGAGAACGCATTCTGGGTGTGGAAGAAGGAATCTGCCGGACAGCCAGCACCCAAGGCGGGCTGTGAGCCCGTCCCAGGTCAGCCCGCGCGGCCGGCCTGCCTCCCACCTGCGCGGGACGCCGTCAGCATGACCCGAGCCTGTGCTGTAGCAAAGCACTGAGCAGCCCAGGGCCCTGCGGCAGGAGGCTCCCCGGGTGACCGGGCTGGGCTCGCGGCCACTGCCCGGCGTCCTTACGGGGTCCTCGCCCTTTCAGGGCCACGTGCTGCCCGAGGACAGCGCCGGGGAGACAGGGTTGCCGGCATCCAGTCTCGGCTGTGGCTGGAGAGAGAGGTGGGGCTGGCTTGTGCCCTTGTCCTCCAGGTGATGCCAGCTTCCTAACCCCCAAGTGGTGACCCGGGGCGCGCTGCGGGGAGGAGGTGAGCGCAGGAGCCTCTGGAATCTTGGGTCGTCTCCTGTTCACCCCTGCACGCACGCCTGTCCTGGCCACCAGGGGGCTCCCTTCCCCGGCTCCGCGGAGTTGGCTTAGCTGCCCAGAGAAGGAAGCTGGGGGAGCCCGGGTCCCCTGCTAGGATGTGGTGCCCGTGAGGGAGGAGAACGTGGGTGGCCTGGGGTGGGGCGGGGAGTGAGACGCCAGCAGCCTGGGCGCCTTCCCCCGTGCTGAGCGGAAGACGTCTCGTCCCGGGTGGGACCCTGGGGAGGGGACAGCAGCGCTGACAGCGTCGGGCGCCCCAGTGAGAGAGCTGGGGCTCGCTCGGACGCCGGGGAGGCAGGCGTTGGGGGTGAGAGAGGAGATTCTGGGCAGAGGACCCTGCGGTTTGGAGCCTGGGGCGCTGGGCAGGGGGCAGAGGCAGAGGGAGCCCAGAAGTGGGAGTCAGGACTTGACAAACGCCTGCCGAGACACCGGGACGCTCCTGCATCGCTGTCCCGGTGGTGGGTGCTGAGCACGGGCCAGAGGGGACCTGCACGCGCCAGGGTGTGCGTCTGGCCCTGTCCCGTGGAATAAGGCTCCCCGTTCTTTCAGGGTAACCGTGCAGAGGGGAAGGCTCGGCCTCAGAGGCCAGGGGCTGTGCTAACTGGCCAAGGGAGGCCCCTGGGGGAGCAGTAGCCCTGCACACCTCGCCCAGGGCCGGGTTCAACAGCGCCCAGTCCCACGCCCCAGGGCCCGTGGGCTCCTAGACTGAGAACCACAGGAACCCCGCCCTGCCCCACCCCCTCTTCCCGGGTCCTCTGGGGCGCCCGTCTGTTGTTTTCCCGGGAAGGCTGGGCAAGCCCTAGTGGCTCCTCCCTCCTTCCTGCCATCAGCGCCCTTGCCAAACAGCGAGGTCTCCCAAGCAGGCGTCTGCCTCTCTGGGTCTGTTCCAGGCGAGGGACCGCCCACTCAGCCCGTGTTTGGGAGCCCAGGTCCGCCCTCCCTCTGGGACCTGACCCTGCCCCCCCCCCCAGGCCCTGTCAGACCCCAGCCCACGCTGACCGTTGGTGTCCTGATGGCTACAGTGACTCAGAGCCAGGGTCTGCCGAAGCCCCAGGCCTTTCACTGAGCCCCCAGAGGCCCTGGGAGCTGCCGGCAGGGGGAGCCCCGAGGAAGGCTGGCAGCTCTGACTCATGACTCGGACATTTAAGGGAATGGGTGAGAGGGAGCAGGCACAGAAGTGCAGACGTGGGCTGTGGGGCCGATGGCTTGGTAGCGCGCAGTGCAGAGAATGCTCTGTGCAAATCTCAGACCAGGGTCAAAGACCAGGCGTTCCTGGAGCAGGCTGAAGACCAGTGTGGGAACTGGAGTTGGGGCTGCAATCCGGGCTTCTGGTGGGTCGCTGGATTTGTGGCAGAATCTGTGCTTTTTGAAAAAAAAAATTTATTCTACTTATTTGAAAGGCAGGGTTACACAGAGAGACGGAGGGGGGTGGGAGTCGTCCATCCTGGGCCGGGCTGAAGCCAGGAGCTCCATCCTAGGCTCCCACGTGGGTGCAGGGGCCCAAGCACTTGGGTCACCTGCTGCTGCCTTCCTGGGTGCTTCAGCAGGGAGCTGGATCGGAAGTGGAGCAGCCGGGGTCTCCACACGTGGTCTCCGCATGCGCTCCCCGCATGGGGTCTCCGCGCACGCCCTCTCCACAGGGGTCTCTGCACGCGCTCCCCGGGCTTCTACGGGGTGCCAGCGTCGCCAGCAGCTGCTTTACCTGCTGCCACATGGCACCAGCCCTATCAGACCCCACCCCGTCCACCTCCTTTTTTTTTTTTTAAGATTTATTTGAGAGGCAGAGTTACAGACAGAGAGAGAGAAGGACAGAGAGAGAGGTCTTCCATCCACTGGTTCACTCCCCAAATGGCCGCCATGACCAGAGCTGGGTCTGTCGGGAGCCAGAAGCTTCTTCCAGGTCTCCCATGCAGGTGCAGGGCCCCAAGCACTTGGGCCATCTTCCACTGCTTTCCCAGGCCACAGCAGAGAGCTGGATTGGAAGTGGAGCAGCTGGGATTTGAACCGGTGCCTATGTTAGATGCCGGCACTGCAGGCGGCAGCTCTTCCCGCTCCACCACAGCGCCGGCCCCCAGACTCCTTCTCTGTGCCCTGCTTCTCCAGTGCCTTGCCGTTGTACACAGTCCTGTGGAGCTGGAGCCAGAGGGCAACTGGACCGGCCAGCTGCGAGAGGCGCTGGCCCCGCGGGGGCCCAGCGAGGGACCACCATGTCGCCGCTGAGTCCACGGCACGGGCGTTGGTTGGCATCGGTGAGTCCCTCCGTTGGGAAAGACCTCGTGCATGAGAGCAGGTGGGCAGGTGGGGTGCTGGTGCCACAGCCCACCCCTGGGACTTCCGAAACCAGCGGCTGGAGGCCGGGGTGCAGAGGCTGGGGTTTGAGGAGGCAGGATGGGAGGGCGAGCTGGTGGGCGTGGTGTCGCCACGGGCTGCGATGTGAAGACTGGGAAGGCGGGCGTGTTTCCAAGACGGAAAATGCAGACAGGATGGAGGAGGAGGAGGAGGAAGAGTGAGCAGAGAGACCTGGTGCCGGGGCGGGGGGGGGGGGGTGGCATTGCATCCTGGGTGGGCGCTGGTGTGAGTCCCGGCTGCTCCACTTCAGATCCAGCTCTGTGCTCATGCTCCTGGGAAAGCAGCAGAAGACGGCCCGAGTGCTTGGGCCCCCGCACCCACGTGGGAGACCCGGATGGCGCTCCAGGCTCCTGCCTCTGGCCTGGCCCAGCCCTGGCTGTTGCAATCATTTGGGGAGTGAACCAGCGGATGGAAGACCTCTCTGTCTTTCTCTCTCCCTCTGTCTCTAACTGTGCCTTTCAAATAAATAAGTAAGTCTTCAAAGAAAGAAAGAAAGAAAGAAAGAAAGAAAGAAAGAAAGAAAGAAAGGGAACTTGCCACAGCTCACGTAAAAACCAGGGACCCTCCGAGTAGGGCTGTCGCTGGGAGAGCTGCAAGGGCTTGTGGGAGGCAGGAAGAGGGGGAAGGGGCCAGAGCCTGGGTCTGTGGGACGCCAGGTCTGAATCCCAGGCTCCCACGTGCCATCCTCCAGCCGAGACCCAGGGCGGCGACTCCGGAGCAGGCGGCACCCGGGCGCCCGGCCTTCCTCCACCTGAGTGGGCGGGACCTCACGGCATGAAGGGGGAGCCGACGGCCCTGCCGAGGGCACGAGGCTGAGGCCAGGCAGGTGGCAGGGGACAGGGCTGGGCCAGGCGCCTCCACTTCCTCCTCCTCCCCTTCCGAGACCGGGAAAGGGGAGCGCCTCCAGTTGAAAGTCCAGCAGGTGCAAGAACCAGGCCCGGGACTCCTGGGTCCCTCAGCACAGTGGAGACATGGCCAGGGCTGGCGGGGGCCTCGGGGCCTGGGGGCCCCTCATGCTGCTGGTAAGTGTCCCCCGCCCCTGGGGGCAGAGGTGGGTGCCCAGGGAGGGGCTGGGCCAGGGTAGTCCTGGATCTTGGCGGGGGGGACTGGGGACCAGGGCCTGGGGAAGGAGGGGCTTCTGCTGTGGGCAGACGAGGGGAGCCTCACCCCTGCACTCTCCAATGTGACTGTGTCTGCTGCCAGAGCGAGCCTGGCCTCAGACAAACACAGCTGTGCCCACACAGAGCCAGCATCAGCCCAGCCCCTCCTCCCAGACCCAGGGTGCTGGGCCCCAGCCCTCCTCCCTCAGACCAGGGGTCCAGCCCAGCCCCTCCTCCCTCAGACCAGGGGTCCAGCTCAGCCCCTCCTCCCTCAGACCAGGGGTCCAGGCCCAGCCCCTCCTCCCTCAGACCAGGGGTCCAGCCCAGCCCCTCCTCCCTCAGACCCAGGAGTCCAGGCCCCCAGCCCCTCCTCCCTCAGACCAGGGGTCCAGGACCCCAGCCCCTCCTCCCTCAGACCAGGGGTCCAGGCCCAGCCCCTCCTCCCTCAGACCAGGGGCCCAGCCCAGCCCCTCCTCCCTCAGACCCAGGAGTCCAGACCCCCAGCCCCTCCTCCCTCAGACCAGGGGTCCAGGACACCAGCCCCTCCTCCCTCAGACCGGGGGTCCAGCTCAGCCCCTCCTCCCTCAGACCCAGGGGTCCAGGCCCCAGCCCCTCCTCCCTCAGACCCAGGGGTCCAGGACCCCAGCCCCTCCTCCCTCAGACCCAGGAGTCCGGGCCCTAGCCCCTCCTCCCTCAGACCCAGAAGTCCAGCCCTAACCCCTCCTCCCTCAGACCCAGGGGTCTGGGCCCCAGCCCCTCCTCCCTCAGACGCAGAAGTCCAGCCCCAGCCCCTCTTCCCTCAGACCCAGGAGTCCAGGCCCCAGCCCCTCCTCCCTCAGACCCAGGGGTCCGGGCCCCAGCCCCTCCTCCCTCAGACTCAGGAGTCCGGGCCCAGCCCCTCCTCCCTCAGACCCAGGAGTCCGGGCCCTAGCCCCTCCTCCCTCAGACCCAGAAGTCCAGTCCTAGCCCCTCCTCCCTCAGACCCAGAAGTCCAGTCCTAGCCCCTCCTCCCTCAGACCCAGGGGTCCGGGCCCCAGCCCCTCCTCCCTCAGACTCAGGAGTCCGGGCCCCAGCCCCTCCTCCCTCAGACCCAGGAGTCCGGGCCCTAGCCCCTCCTCCCTCAGACCCAGAAGTCCAGTCCTAGCCCCTCCTCCCTCAGACCCAGGGGTCTGGGCCCCAGCCCCTCCTCCCTCAGACCCAGGAGTCCAGGACCCCCGCCCCTCCTCCCTCAGACCCAGGGGTCTGGGCCCCAGTCCCTCCTCCCTCAGACCCAGGAGTCCAGGACCCCCGCCCCTCCTCCCTCAGACCCAGGGACCTGGGCCCCAGCCCCTCCTCCCTCAGACCCAGGGACCTGGGCCCCAGCCACCCCCACGCCCCCACCAGACCCTCTGGTCCTGCCCTGCTTCCCAGGGTGTTGACTGCTTCCCTGTCTCCCAAGGCCATATTTTCTGGAGAGTGAAACCATTAGGTTTATCTCCGAAGCTTATCGGGCAGAGGCAGTGGCAGCCCTGGGTCCCCGCCCACCCCGCCCCGCCCCTCCTGCTGCCCAGGGAAGACCTACCTTGGGGTGACCTCTATCACTGCCCTCCTGTCTCAGGCAGCAGTGACTCATGGGGCGGGAGCAGGCTCTGGGGGCCCTGACCAGCCCCGCCCTGATTCCGCTCATCTGGGTGGCTCATGGGGCGGGTGGGCTCCGCTGGCGCTGACCAGCCCCGCCCTGCCTCCACTCACCTGTGTCCCGGCGGGGGGGCTCTGCCCGATTCCTTTGTCCCTGGCTCCCTACAGGTCCTGTGCAGCCGGACATGGGACAGGGCGGCCGGTGAGTGACCCTGATGAACCCACTGCCCAGGGGCTCCTGGGGGCTTCTCCTTGGCCCAGGTGGTGTCTGGCAGGGGCTTGTGGAAGCCGGGGATTGCGGACCTGTGGGAGGGCTGATACTGAAGCTGTCCTTGACCCTTTCTTAGCCCTCGGCCCAGTGAGAAACCTGACGGTGGGGGCTCAGACCAACAACTCCATCACCCTGGTCTGGGAGGCCCCCGAGGGCCCCGACTCCCAGGACCTCACCTACTGGGTGCAGTGCACGGGAGATGGTGGCAGCACCGAGACCCAGAACACAACAAGCACCAGCGCCACGGTGGGCGGACTGGACGCGGCCACTCCCTATGCGTGTTCCGTGTGGGCAGAACAGGATGGGGCCAGCGGCACCAAGGAGGACCTCACCGTGAGCACAGGTGAGGGGGCCAGCCGGTCCCTCCTGCACGGGGAGGAGGTGGGGCCGGTGGGGGGCGGGCGCTGTGTGCCCCACAGGCGAGTTTCAGTTTCTGTCTGCCATCAGGGCACACACACAGGCAGGTGAAGGGAGTCATGGGAGATTATTCATGTCCCGTGAGACCCAACCCAGCCTGCGTCAGTGTGGGTGACCATGGCAGGTCATGTGACCCACAGGAAGGCGGAGCCACTTCCCTTCTCACACTCACTCCTCCGCCCTGGGTGTGTGCTAGCCCTGGGCCCCTCTGAGTTCAAGGTCGCCAGGTGAGGAGCACTGGACAGCCACATGGGACCTGTGCCCACCATGTATACCTGGGCCCAGCCCCTGCACCTGCTGGGTCAGGAGTGGTCGGAAACTTTTTTTTTTATGATTTATTTAATTGAAAGGCAGTGTTACAGAGAGAGAGACGGATCTTTGCTCTGCTGTTTCACTCCCCAAATGGCTGTAATGACCGGGGCTGGGCCGGTCTGAGCCCGGGAGCCGGAGCTTCTTCCAGGACCCCCCTGTGGGAGCAGGCACCCGACCTCCTGGGCCATCCTCCGCGGCTTCCCCCTGGCCGTTAGCAGAGAGCTGGACGCAAGGGGAGCAGCCGGGGAGTGAACCAGTGCCCATCTGGGGTGCTGGTGTCCCAGGCGGCAGCTTTACCCGCTAAGCCACAGTACCGGCCCTAGTCGGAAACTTTGGGGGCCAGGAGCTACGCTGATTCTGCCTTCCCCTGCGATTCAGCCCCCAATGCAGTGAGAAACCTGACGGTGGGGGCTCGGACCAACAGCTCCCTCACCCTGGTCTGGGAGGCCCCCGAGGGCCCCGACTCCCAGGACCTCACCTACTGGGTACAGTGCACGGGAGATGGTGGCAGCACCGAGACCCAGAACACAACAAGCACCAGCGCCACGGTGGACGGGCTGGACGCGGCCACTCCCTATGCGTGTTCCGTGTGGGCAGAACAGGATGGGGCCAGCGGCACCAAGGAGGACCTCACCGTGAGCACAGGTGAGGGGGCCAGCCGGTCCCTCCTGCACGGGGAGGAGGTGGGGCCGGCGGGGGGCGGGCGCTGTGTCCCCCACAGGCGAGTTTCAGTTTCTGTCTGCCATCAGGGCACACACAGGCAGGTGAAGGGAGTCATGGGAGATTATTCATGTCCCGTGAGACCCAACCCTGCCTGCGTCAGTGTGGGTGACCATGGCAGGTCATGTGACCCACAGGAAGGCGGAGCCACTTCCCTTCTCACACCCACTCCTCCGCCCTGGGTGTGTGCTAGCCCTGGGCCCCTCTGAGTTCAAGGTCGCCAGGTGAGGAGAACTGGACAGCCATGTGGGACCTGTGCCCACCGTGTATACCTGGGCCCAGCCCCTGCACCTGCTAGGATGGAGTGGTCGGAAACTTTTTTTCAAATATTTATTTTTTTACTTGAAAGGCAGTGTTACACACACACAACACACAGACGGAGGTGGGGTGATATCTTCCCTGCACTGGTTCACTTTCCACGTGTCTGCAATGACCAAGGCTGGGCTGGTCTAAAGCCAGGAGCTTCTTCCAGGTCTCTCTCATGTGGGTGGCAGGCACCCACGCACTGGCCCATCCTCCACTGCTTTCCCAGGCCATTAGCAGGGAGCTGGATCTGAAGTGAAGCAACTTGGACACCAACCAGTGTCCTCGTGGGCTGCCGGCATCCCAGGCAGTGGCTTACTGACTGTGCCACCATACTGCCCCCCACAGGTTTGTTTATTTAGTTGAAAGTCAGAGTTAGAGAGACAGAGGGGGAGAGAGAAAAAGTTCTTCTATTGGTTCACTCCTCAGATGGCTCCAACAGCCAGCCCTAGGCCAGGCCAAAGGAGGAGGCAGGAGCTTCTTCCAGGTTTCCCATGTAGACGGCAGGCACCCAAGCTCTTGGGCTTTCTTCCACTGATCAGAGGCCGGCTCTGTGGCATAGCGGGTAAAGCTGTCACCTGCAGTGCCGGCATCTCATGGGCGCTGGTTCAAGTCCCAGCTACTGCACTTCTGATCCAGCTCTCTGCTATGGCCTGGGAAAGCAGTAGAAGATGGCCCAAGTCCTTGGGCCCCTGCACCCATGTGGGAGACCTAGAAGAAGCTCCTGGCTCCTGGCTTTGGGTCCTGCCTGGCTTCACAGCTCCAGCCACCATGGCCAATTGGGGAGTGAACCAGCTGATGGAAGACCTCTTTCTCTCTCTGCCTCTCCTTTTCTCTCTGTGTGACTCTGACTTTTTAATAAATAAATGCATATTTTTATTTTTTTATTTATTTTTTATTTTTGACAGGCAGAGTGGACCGTGAGAGAGAGAGAGACAGAGAGAAAGGTCTTTCTTTGCCGTTGTTCACCCTCCAATGGCTGCCACGGCCAGCGCGCTGCGGCCGGCGCACCGCGCTGATCCGAAGGCAGGAGCCAGGTGCTTCTCCTGGTCTCCCATGAGGGTGCAGGGCACAAGCACTTGGGCCATCCTCCATTGCACTCCCGGGCCACAGCAGAGAGCTGGCCTGGAAGAGGGGCAACCGGGACAGAATGCGGCACCCCAACCGGGACTAGAACCCGGTGTGCCGGCGCCACTAGGCGGAGGATTAGCCTGTTGAGACGTGGCGCCGGCTAAATGCATATTTTTCAAGAATGATTTTACTTATGTGAAAGACAGAGAGAGTTACAGAGAGAAGTGGAGCCAGAGAGAGAGAGGTCTTCAGTCCCGCTAGTTCAGTCCCCAAATGACCGCAACAGCCAGAGCTGAGCTGATCCGAAGCCAGGATTTGGGGGCCAGGAGCTACGCTGATTCTGCCTTCCCCTGCGATTCAGCCCCCAATGCAGTAAGAAACCTGACGGTGGGGGCTCAGACCAACAACTCCATCACCCTGGTCTGGGAGGCCCCCGAGGGCCCCGACTCCCAGGACCTCACCTACTGGGTGCAGTGCACGGGAGATGGTGGCAGCACCGAGACCCAGAACACAACAAGCACCAGCGCCACGGTGGGCGGGCTGGACGCGGCCACTCCCTATGCGTGTTCCGTGTGGGCAGAACAGGATGGGGCCAGCAGCACCAAGGAGGACCTCACCGTGAGCACAGGTGAGGGGGCCAGCCGGTCCCTCCTGCACAGGGAGGAGGTGGGGCCGGCGGGGGGCGGGCGCTGTGTCCCCCACAGGCGAGTTTCAGTTTCTGTCTGCCATCAGGGCACACACAGGCAGGTGAAGGGAGTCATGGGAGATTATTCATGTCCCGTGAGACCCAACCCAGCCTGCGTCAGTGTGGGTGACCATGGCAGGTCATGTGACCCACAGGAAGGCGGAGCCACTTCCCTTCTCACACTCACTCCTCCGCCCTGGGTGTGTGCTAGCCCTGGGCCCCTCTGAGTTCAAGGTCGCCAGGTGAGGAGCACTGGACAGCCACATGGGACCTGTGCCCACCATGTATACCTGGGCCCAGCCCCTGCACCTGCTGGGTCAGGAGTGGTCGGAAACTTTTTTTTTTATGATTTATTTAATTGAAAGGCAGTGTTACAGAGAGAGAGACAGATCTTTGCTCTGCTGTTTCACTCCCCAAATGGCTGTAATGACCAGGGTTGGGCCGGTCTGAGCCCGGGAGCCGGAGCTTCTTCCAGGACCCCCCTGTGGGAGCAGGCACTCGACCTCCTGGGCCATCCTCCGCGGCTTTCCCCCGGCCGTTAGCAGAGAGCTGGACGCAAGGGGAGCAGCCGGGGAGTGAACCAGTGCCCATCTGGGGTGCTGGTGTCCCAGGCGGCAGCTTTACCCGCTAAGCCACAGTACCGGCCCTAGTCGGAAACTTTGGGGGCCAGGAGCTACGCTGATTCTGCCTTCCCCTGCGATTCAGCCCCCAATGCAGTGAGAAACCTGACGGTGGGGGCTCGGACCAACAGCTCCCTCACCCTGGTCTGGGAGGCCCCCGAGGGCCCCGACTCCCAGGACCTCACCTACTGGGTGCAGTGCACGGGAGATGGTGGCAGCACCGAGACCCAGAACACAACAAGCACCAGCGCCACGGTGGGCGGGCTGGACGCGGCCACTCCCTATGCGTGTTCCGTGTGGGCAGAACAGGATGGGGCCAGCAGCACCAAGGAGGACCTCACCGTGAGCACAGGTGAGGGGGCCAGCCGGTCCCTCCTGCACGGGGAGGAGGTGGGGCCGGCGGGGGGCGGGCGCTGTGTCCCCCACAGGCGAGTTTCAGTTTCTGTCTGCCATCAGGGCACACACACAGGCAGGTGAAGGGAGTCATGGGAGATTATTCATGTCCCGTGAGACCCAACCCTGCCTGCGTCAGTGTGGGTGACCATGGCAGGTCATGTGACCCACAGGAAGGCGGAGCCACTTCCCTTCTCACACCCACTCCTCCGCCCTGGGTGTGTGCTAGCCCTGGGCCCCTCTGAGTTCAAGGTCGGCACATTCCTTCCTGTCTCTCTTCCTCTATCTGTGACTCTGCCTCTCTAATAAATAAATAAAATCTCAAAAAAAAAAGCCACATTCGAGCACTTGGTAGCCGCTTGGGACTTGGGCCACCTTACAGGACAGCGCAGGTCTGGGCCAAGCTGCCTACAGCAGTGGCCGGAAACTTTGGGGCCAGGAGCTACGCTGATTCTGCCTTCCCCTGCGATTCAGCCCCCAATGCAGTGAGAAACCTGACGGTGGGGGCTCGGACCAACAGCTCCCTCACCCTGGTCTGGGAGGCACCCGAGGGCCCCGACTCCCAGGACCTCACCTACTGGGTGCAGTGCACGGGAGATGGTGGCAGCACCGAGACCCAGAACACAACAAGCACCAGCGCCACGGTGGACGGGCTGGACGCTGGATCCACGTATGAATTGCGTGTGTGGGTCAAGCAGAACGGGGTCAGCAGCTCCCAGGAGACTAGGAACGTGAGCACAGGTGAGCAGCAGCGCGTCCCGTCCTCTTAGGGGCAGTGGTAGCCGAGGGAGGGCCGAGGAGCGGCCGGGAACCTGCGGTGGTCCAGTACTCGTCCTGGGGGCCACGTCGCGCCCGACACCCCCTGGGATCCTACGAGGAAACCGCCCCGTGCCCAAGCAGCCTCAGCCGGAGATGAGGGAGGGTTGTCTTCAGCCCCCAGCCCCGCCCTGGGGCTGGCTGGGGTGCAGGGCGCTCCGGGACCGGTGTGCGTGGACATAGGGGCCAGGGCGTGCGACCAGGAGTGGCCCCTGTGATGGAGACGGTCCGACTCTGCCCGGTTCTCTCCTCCGTCTGCGTCACGTGCGGCGGGTTCCGCTCCTGCCCCTGGGGTGGACAGCCCCCGATCGCCGTGTCCCGTGGGGCGCGCTGGCCTCGTGTGCCTGTTAAAATTCGAGCTGGATGAAGCTGCGCGCTGAGCCCCGCATCCGCTGTGCTCAGGAGCCCTGTGGAAGGCTGCCTGCCCGTCTCCCTCCCGCCCTCCGCTGGGCTTGTGCCGGCCGGGGCGGGGGGGGGGGGCACCGGGAGATGGCGTCCGTCAGCACAGAGAGGGCTCTTGGGCCCTTCCATGGTGAGGGCCCCACCCGTGACCCGGTCCCCTCGCCGAGACCTCCTCTCTCAGGGCTGTTGTGCAGGATTAGAGTTCATCTCGCAAATGTGGGACAAACGTAAGGTCAGGCCTTGCTGGACCTCAGAGCACGTGGGGT